GAAAAAGATTTTACCAAAAAAAAAAAAAAAAAAAAAAGCACAAAAAACCTAAAGAAAACATACTATTTATATTTTAATAGTTTCTGAAACAATTAAAAAGAAAAATAGTTTCATTATCTTCACTTTATAGAAAATATTGCCTATAAAGTTAATTTCTGCAAAGAAAATTCTGTTCCATTTACTTCAGGAATACCATATCACTGTAGAAAAAAAACCCATAATGAAATGAACTGAAAATATTTGATGAGGACAGGATCATGGCTCATGACCAGTAGATTTCCCGTAAGGCTATAAAAGAAAAGCTAGCTGAGAAAATGTCACATAGAAGTGAGCTTCAAGATGCTTTCTTTATTGATGCTTTGTAAATAGCAATTGGGTTGTCTTCGTAATTTGGTGAAGTTTATGCTCCTCTGTTGTCATTTCTGTCTCAGTAAATGGCAACTCCATTCCTTACTTGTTCAGAGTACTGGGGTTGGCTTTTTTTTTTTTTTTTTTTTTTCCTTTTTGTCTTTTTTCGTGACCAGCAACGGATCGCAACCCTCAGTGTCGCGCCCGTACTGGACCGGGACCGGCTACGGGATCGCAACCCTTGGTGTTGCTCCCGCACCTCACTCAGCCAGTGAGTGGCCGGTCTGTATGTGGGATCCGAACCCTCGGCGGGAGTGCCGCCGTGCTTCCCAAGCGGCGCACTGTAGCAGTGTGCCACCGGGCCGGCCTGTGGGGTTGGCTTTGATGCCTCTCTTTTCTCACACCTCACATCAAGCACATCAGCAAATCCTGTCAGCTGTGTCTTCAGATACATCCAGCATCAGATCCTTATCAACCTTCTATAATTTTTGTCTTTAAACCTTTATTGAATTTCACAAGAAACTCTATTAGGAACAAGTAGTTTAAATTGATAGTATATTGGTGGAACCTTAGAGATTATCTTATTTTAACTTCTTTTGCAGATGAAGAAACTAAGACACATACCTGTCCCCCACAAAATTATGTGTCATATACAGTTCTTAATGTTAGTAACCATGAGAACTGAAGTTCCACTTCCATTGTTTTTCCACTGTGCCTATAAAGCAAACTAGTCTGCTGGATTCTTTTACAGAATGGTAATATAATTAGATCTTTTGTCAAAGCATTTTACAGAATTGTGTCTACAAACTCTTATGAATCATCAGAATGTCTTTTAACATTGTTTGCTTAAATTTCTTATTGAAGTATTTGTATTAAGCAAATATTACTTATATAAGTTGTGATTTGTCATTTCACCTGATCCTGTCTATATTAAACTTCCAGTTCTTCAAGTACGTAGTAGGGCTCTGCTTTTTATAAAATGTATTTTTTTGCACTAGTGATACAGTAATGTCTTTAAGTATTTTCTTTATGTTTCATGGAGCATGGTTTTCCACTAACTAAATGTATTTAAACTTTTAGTGTAATAATCCCAAAACAAAAGAACCCAAATTAAAAGCTGCTGCCAGGATTGTCCCAGAATGGGTAGAGTATGATACTGAGATCCAGCAACTATTAAATCATCTTGAAAACAAGAAGAAAAATAAAAGTAAGTTATTATCCTGAAGTGATGTCTGAACCATTTGTTACAGTAATGAGATCATAGTAGATTACAGACTCATTTTTTAGTGAATTTATCAAATGATTAAGTCAAAAAATTTTTAAAGAAAGTCTGTGGTATGACTAAGAATTTCATTTTTATGTGTTCTAAGCTCACAAATTTAAAACACAGAAAAAATTTATGCAGCTATTGAAAATGCCTTTAAAAATGTAAAATATGGATAGAGAATCTGTTCCCCCATGGGTATAGCTTTAATTCTTATCTCTATATAGATGGCTATTATAACATTAGCTTCCTGACCCCAGGTAGAGGTGAAAAATAGAAGTAAAAGAAATACTTATCTTTAAGATTATGCTGAATTTGTCAAATGTGCAATTCCAAGCAAGCACTAAAAATTAATAAAAGCCTTACATAGCTAACTGAAAACATTACCTCCTATCATCTAAATTAATCTCATACGTAATACAGGTTTGCTCACATGTTCCTAGTTCTAATATCTTTAGTCATGGGCTGGAGAGTGACTTCTTTTAAATTTTCTTTACATTTTTTTATATTAAAAAAGCTGTAGCTACCTTGGCATTTCATCATCCTACATAAACCTTTAACAAATATATGTTGAATTTTTTTTTTAAGCTGATAGAAACTTCTTGATTCTCTCATAATTTCCTTTCTCTGTCAGTGCTCTCTCTCCCTATTGTTCTTTAATCTTTTCTTAAAAGAGCTCCTATTGTATTCCTGTCAGTATGATAGACTGACTATAGGAATACAATTCTATTTTCCTCAGCTTTATTTTTTAGGGAAGCTGAAATGATTATATGTAAACTTTCTCACATAAACATGAAGTTGTGTTTCATCTTGACTTACTGTTTTCCTTTAAAAAGCCAATGTGGTGGTGTCCTAGAAGTTCAGTATTCGAAACACATCCATGTATATGTAATAATTTAGTATAGGTAAAGATCACTTCAATTCAAAAGAAATAATTATTCTGTAAGTGGTATATATATGTTTTTAAAGGAAGAAAAAAGATAAAAGAAGACGAAGAGAAGGAAAGAAAGAAAAAAAGGAAGAAAGGAAAATTGCTTCACACAAATATTTTTAAAAGCACAAAATACTGAGATGAAATGTTTCTTTTATCCAATTAGGAAAGAGTTAAAGGATTAATAATACCCAGTGCTAGTGAGGAAGTTGGCAAGTGAGCACTTTCATATAGCCATATGCGTAGTAGCTGTATAAACCAAGGAAATTTTATTATATATATCTAAAGTCACAGTGTATACATCCTTTGACCCAGCAATCCACTTTAAGAAATTTACATTTTAAAAAAATGGTGTGTATATTGGTATATGATAGCTTTAATTTTAATAATGAAATAGAAATAATGTAACTGCCCATCAATAGATGATTGGTTATGTAAAAGTTGATAAATACAAACAGTGGAATATAGTGCATTGTTTCAAGAAAATTGAGATAAATGTATTTGTGGTAACAGCATATTTTTAAGTTAAAAAATAGGTACAGAACAATATTTATGATACGACTGATCCCGGATAATTATAATTCTTCTTTTCTAATTTGGATACCTTTTATTTCTTTTTCTTGCCTAATTGCTCTGGCTAGAAGTTCCAATACTGTGTTGAATAGAAGCAGTGAGAATGGGCTTCCTTCTTTTGCTCCTGATCATAGAAAAACTTTCAGTCCTTTACCATTGAGTATGATGTTAGCTGTGGGTTTTTCATATATGGTCTTTACTGTGTTGAGGAAGTTTCCTTCTATTCCTAAGTTTGTTAAGTGTTCTTACCATGAAAGGATGTTGACTTTTCAAAATGCTTTTTCTGCATCAGTTGAAATGATCATGGTTTTTTTTCCTCATTCTGTTTATGTTATATATTACATTGATTGATTTTCATATATTGAATCAGCCTTGCATTCCAGAAATAAATCCCACTTGATCATAGTATATAAACATTTTAATATGCTGTTGAATTTGGTTTGCTTATATTTTGTTGAGGATTTTTATAACCGTAGTCATAAGCGATATTGGTCTATAGTTTTCTATTCTTGTACTGTCTATCTAGTATCAAGGCAATGCTGGTCTCATAGAATGGGTTAGGAAATATTCTTTCCTCTTCAATTTTTTGGAAGATTTTGAGAAGAATTGGTATAAATTCTTCTTAAAACATGTTTGATAGAATTCATCAGTGAAGTCATCTGAACAAGGGCTTTTCTTTGTTGGGAAGTTTTTGATTACTGCTTCAATATTCTTGCTAGTTATATACCACTCTAGATGGGTAAAAAGATATGTAATTAGATTTTCTGTTTCTTCATGTTTCAGTCTTAGTAAGATATATATAGGTTGTGTATTTTTAGGAGTTTGTCCATTTCATCTACATATCCAGTTGTTGTTCATATTACTCATACAGTTGTTCATATTACTCTCCTATAATCTTTTTTGTTTCTGTAAAATTGTGGTAATGTTCCCCACTTCTGTTTCTGATTATAGTAATTTCAGTCCTCTTTTTTTTTTTATTTAGTCTAGCTAAAAGGTTTGTCAATTTTGTTAAGATTTTCAAAAAAACAACATTGGTTTTGTTGATTTTCTCTCTTTTTTTTTTTTTTTCCTGTTCTCTATTTATCTTTATTCTACTCTTTGTTATTTCTCTCCTGCTGTGTTTGGGTTTAGTTTGCTCTTCTTTTTCTAGTTCCTTAAGGTGCAAAGTTAGGTTGTTGATTCAAGAGCTTCTTTTTTGACATAAGAGTTTACAGCTGTAACTCCCCCTCTTATCACTACTTTCATTGCACCCTGTAACTTTTGTCGGCTTGTATGCTGAAACACTCATGTCTCTCTTTGGCCTTGGATATTTTTATTTTTTTTTAATGTGTTTTTTGGTTTTGTTTCTAAATAATCTTCCTCCTCCCCCCTTTTCTCTGTTCTCTCTTTCCAGAATTCTAACTAGTTGGATTTTATACTTGAATTAATTCTATGCTTTTTTAGTGCATTTTTATTGTGAAAAATAGGATACATTTAAATTAATTTCTGCCTGAAAGTATTGTTCTGAGTTCTCGATGCTCTTAAACCAGTAAGAAACCATTTTGGTTTCTAAGAGTCTTGATTGGAATTGATCTCACATTTGTACAATACTTATGTCTATGTCTGAATGCTCTGTCCTCCCGTCTTAGAAGAAGACCACATATGTCTTCTGTTCTTTGTTGTTCTGTCGCGTTAATGGTAGGATACTTTGGGCATGGTGAATAATCTATTAATATTCTTCAAGGCCTCTATCTGCCAGGCAGAGTGCTAGATCCTAGATATAACAAAGATAAATAAGGTGTACTCCTTGTCCTCACTGACTTATGGGAGCTCACATTCTAGGTAAATAAAAAGACAAGTAGTTATGAAACAGGGTGATAGATACCAAAATGCACAAAGAATTATTTTCATGTCATATCATGAAGTTTATAGGTACTGAACTAACAATCACAAAGATACTCAGTTAACACCTGAGCCTTTTTTTTTTTTTTTTAACATTTGTTGGGTACAGTGTATTGTTTCAATACATGCATATTCTGCACAATGATTCACTTAGGGTAGATAGCATAGTTTTCTACCCATTAGTCCACCTTTTCTGTATCCCATATCTCAGCAACATTTAAGCTAATTTTATATTCAAGATTTCAAGAACTGAATAAACTTTCCTCCCCTACAGTTTTGACACACGACGAACTCTAGTATTGATGTATGAAGATGAAAGTATGACAAGAAGTCTGCCACCTGCTGGGAAAATGTGGAACTACTGCTAAGACTATTAGGAAGTTTCATTAAGATCAGTGACATATTCTTCAATTTAAAAATCTTAATTATTTACAATACATGTACTTAATGTATTGAGTAAGCTTAAGTTATATAGGAAATTAGCATTGAGTATTTAAAACTAAATTGTTCCTTTTTCCTGATTGCTTAAAACACTGGGTTTTTACCAGTTAAAGTTTGTTTTGCCCAATAATCCAGTAGAGGGTATCTGACTAGTTAGCTGGTCCTTATGGGTGTTTATCAAACCATCTGCATCCTTTTGTAATCCAGCTTTATATGTGTCCATATTTCCCTGTTTACAAAATGCATTTAAAAAATTAAACTTATTTTGTGCTTTTTATTCTGAGAGAGAAAAAAGACTCATGGTTATCGCTGAATAAGAGAAAAAAAAGCCCATTTATACCTTAACTATTGCTTTAAAATGGAAGTAATGTTGCACTGTAGTCATTTATTTATCTTAAACTATATGATGTTTAATCCCTGTGCTGTATTTGTATTTTTTCAATGTTTCTAGTTTTATGTCATAAAATGGTAATTCATGGGAATACGGGGTATGTATGTATATTATTTTTTAGAAAGGACTGGGTACTTTTATAGAAACTAAGTTAATAATGTAAACTTTTCCTATTGTATATTAATAATAGATGAATAGGAATAGTAAATGTTTAATAACTATCTAACTATTCTAGAATAAGGTCTTGGAACTGGAAGAGACCTCAATGTCATTTGGACTCCGCCTCCTGAAGAGTCTGATTCAATAGGTCTGAAGTGAGCTTGGGAAATCATGATTATTTAAAAAGCTCTCCAGATGATTCTGCTGATAAGCAAAGTTTAAGAAACACTTTTAGCCCCCAGCTAATGTGCCAGCTCCTTTTACAAGGCCCTGTCAAATGGAGCCTCAGGCCATCTTGGAAACTTCCAGGGCAACGGGGAACTCTCTACCTCTATAGACAGGCCAGTCCATCTTTGGACAGCTTTGTACACAGAGTTCCATGGTGAGCTTGAAGCTGTCTTTTGGCAGTCTCTGCTCTTACTTCTTTGAGCTCTTCAGAACAACACTAATCCTTTATTTGACAGCACAGCCTTTAGAGTATTTGAAAATAACTGCCCTTCCACAGCAGCCTCATTCATTCTTTATTTAAAACTTATTTATTATTATTTTTTTACATACTAAGATGTTCCTGAGCAATGGGAGGGGGAGGGGAGAAGGGGTGGCGGCTGGGACGGGTCATGAGCAGCTCAGCCCGCGACCCCCCCCCCTTTGGGGAGGGGGCTTCCCGCAGCAGGTGGGGCTGGATGGGGGGGCATGGTTCATTAATTCATTAATAAGAAATCACCTCTCCCAGTCCCTCCTTTTGTTGCTTGTCCAATGTCTGTGATAAAATGGAGTGCTCCAGGTGTGCCCTACTCTGGTGGAACTAGATTCCTGTGGGTTCAAAGAATCCTATGAAGTCTCTTGAAAGCTGAAGCGGTAAGTTGGCCTGGGGCGACCGACACCATAATGCTCTCTGGCTCACTTCTCTTTGGAGTTGGGTATAGCACCAGGGCTTGGTGAGAGGTAAGACTCTGTAAATTTCTAGCTAATGCCAGATGCTACAGCCAGCTACCCAGAGGTCTGCTGTGGTGGTTGGGCAGAAGCTGCAAATGACTATGAGATGGCACTTTGCTTTCCTTTGTAATCAGCCTTTGTTTTCACTTTGTCTTTATAGGGAGAGAGGTGAGCTGGCAAACACACCTGATTTCCACCCTTATTACTAACAACTACCGGTTCTAATAGTCTAGATCCCATATTTCTTAGAGTATCAGCTCAAATTGCAGAATGTAAACACAGTCTTGGTGGCTCCCCTCCCTGTTTGTATCTTACGATTTGAATGGGGTTAAATTTACATGTCTCATTTACAGATGAGTGATACCTTATATCAGAAAACCCAGGTTTACAAATAAGGTGTTTTATTTTACAAGGAGATTCTTTGATAAAATGGCTCATTTTCAAATCCTGATATGTCAAGAGCTCTCAGTGCGTACAAACAGCCATGCCATACAAAAGTCTATCCTCTCAGGGATATCTTACATAACTGACTGTAGGTCTAGCTTGAGCAGATGCCAACACTTGGAGGGAAAGCCAACAAAAGGGATTTTCTGTTGGCCTGGGGATGCTGAACAAATATCATCCAAGGGCATTAACAGACACTGAGGATGCTGAATCCTGATTCTCGGGTGCATGCCCTGTATCAAGTTTTAACAAAAATCAAATCCTAGGCCGGCCCGGTGGCGCACTGCTACAGTGCACCGCTTGGGAGCGCGGCGGCACTCCCGCCGAGGGTTCGGATCCCACATACAGACCGGCCGCTCACTGGCTGAGCGAGGTGCGGGTGCAACACCTAGGGTTGCAATCCCGTTGCCGGTCCTGGTCCGGTATGGGCGCGACACTGAGGGTTGCGATCCGTTGCTGGTCACAAAAAAAGACAAAAAGGAAGAAAAAAAAAATCAAATCCTAGAAAAACAAGCCATATTTTCTGTGACTCTCCTCTTTCCCTCTCCTTAGAGATAAGTGTCAGAACAGGCAGCTTATCTAAGCTGAGAATCAAGACAGTTTGAGCTTTAACTGTAGTGACATGTGAATTTTAGGTATTATTGTGATATTATTAACGTATTATTATTGTGATAAAGTAGAATAGGAGACTGAAGACAATTCAGTCTTCATGCCACCTAGGATGCCTAGATACAGAAGGTTTGTGCCCATCATTTGGCTCCAGTTACCATCAAGTTCCTAGAGAACTGCATAGCTCCTAAAGGGATAAAATCAAAAACTTCCAAAAGGCACCACAAGCCATTTCAGCCTCGAGTTGCAGATAAGAACAGGCTTTAACAATGAAAGTGTAGTTTGACACATGAGCAAGGTCCTGCGCAAAGAAATGGTTGTTTCTGTGTGCCAGGTCCTGACTCTAGCACCTGAGAAGCCACCAGACAGGAAGTCACCGCTACCCAGAGGAGGTAGAGAGGGGCCCAGCAGAATAGTTTCAGAGGTATTAGGTATGGCAAGTCAGAGCATCCTTCAGTGATTAAAAGATGGCTAAGAGCATTTTCTTCTCTGAAATAAAGCAGCAAAGTTAGTGAAATGTAGCTTCTCACTAAGCAACAAATAAGACTTTATTAAAGACTGGCATGTCTCTGATTCATGGTTCCAGAGATCAAGTAAAAGGTGCTGATGGACTCATGCTCAGTAACCAAAAGGTATAAGTTATGACCCCAGCCACTGTCTTGCCTACTTTTGTTACTTAGGAGGTTTAATAGGGATCCACTTACTTCCAAAGAACAAGTTGATTGGTTAAAATCTCATTTTTGGTGGCAAAGTGAGGGTGGGGAGACATGAAGGTCCAGGACTTTGATGGCCAAAGTTCAAATCACAGACAACTTTGTAACTTCGAGGTACTTGGTCAGGTGTGCAAGCCCATCCTATAGCCCCTCTTTTTAAAGTCTTGAAGTAATGGGATGGCTGTTCCCATTTGGCAGTTTATTAACCGAATTTATCAAATATTAACTTTTGTTTTCTGAGAAGTTCTAGAGTGAAGCCTCTTGACTTAGAACTTACTACTCTTTGTTGTAAAGATTTCTGATTTGGAAAAGATTCTTGTCTTCTACTTTCATAATTACTTGCATTTAAGAAGTTTATTTCAGTCATGTGGATTTGCCCAACAAGATGAGGTTGGTATCCTACCTGAAGAGGTTTACTTTATTTATTTATTTACTTACTTACTTACTTATTTACTTATTTATTTAGCTTGGTGGGGGGAGCTTTTTTTTATTGTAAAATATATATAACTTAAGGTTTGCCATTTTAAACATTTTTAAACATACAATTGTGTGGAATTAATTACATTCACAATGCTGTGTGACCACTACTTCTGTCTACCTCCAGAACTTTTTTATCATAATAAACATGAACTCTGTACCTGTTAATCAATAACTTCTCATTATTCCTTCCCCATAGTTTCTGGTAACCTCTAATCTACTTCTGTCTATGCATTTTTTTTTCTTTTAAATTTATTTTTCTTTAATTGATCCATGATAATTGTGTATATTTATGGGATACAGTATAATATTTGGGTAAATTTATATAGTGTGCAATGATTATATCAAAGTAATTAGCATATCCATCATCTCAAATATTTGTCACCTCTTTGTGTTGGGAACATTCAAAATCTGCTTAAAGTTATACAGTAAATTGTTGTCTACTGTAGTCACCCATATTGCTATAGAACATGACACCTTATTCTTCCTGTCTCTCTTTTTTTCCCCCAGATCCAACTCCTTCATGTTATTTTAATTATTTTGTATTTTTTGCCTTTACCAATTCTTCCTTCTCCCCCCTCCCTGTCCCCCTTTCCCACCCCCAGTAACCTCAGTTCTCTTCTCTTCTCTTAAAAAGTTCAACATATTATTGTAATTGTTGTTATCTTTTTTTTCTTTATTTTTGTATTACCTCCCACATATAACTGAGGACATGCACTATTTCTCTTTCTGTGCCTGGCTTATTTCACTTAACATAGGACAAATTCATTCATGTTGCTGCAAATGACAGTATTTCGTTCTTATTTATGGCAGGGTAGTATTACGTTCTATAAATATACTACATTTTCCTTATCCACTCATCCAACGATGGACACTTAGGTTGGTTCCAACTCTTGGCTACTGTAAATATAGCTGTGATAAAGATGGGAGTGCAGGTGTCCTTTCAACATGATGATTTCCATTCCTTTGGGTAAACACCCAGCAGTGGGATTGCAGGTCATATGGTAGATCTATCTGTAGTTGTCTGAGGAATATCCATACCATTTTCCATGATGACTGCACCATTTTACAGTCCCACCAACAGTGTAGGAGGGTTCCCCTTTCTCCACATCCTTGCCAGCATCTCTTATTCTGTGTCTTTTTGATGATAGCCAGTCTAACTGGAGTAAGATGATATCTCAGTGTGGTTTTGATTTGCATTTCCCAGATGCTGAGTGAGGTTGAGCATTTTTTCATGTGTCTGTCGGCCATTTGTATCTCTTCCTTTGAGAACTACCTATTCAGCTCCTTTGCTCATTTTTTAATTGAGTTACTTGTTTTATTGTTTTTTGTTTTTTTACTGTTAAGTTGATTGAGTTCCTTGTATATTCTGGATATTAATCCCTTGTCAGATGCATACTTTGCAAATATTTTTTCCCACTCTGATGTTTGTCTTTTCACTCTGTTAATTGTTGGTTTTTTTTTTTTTTTTTTTGCTGTGCAGAAGCTTTTTAGTTTGATATAATCCCATTTGTTTATTTTTCCTTTTGTTGCCTGTGCTTTTGGGGTCATATTCGTAAAGTATATGCCCAGTCCTACTTCCTGAAGTGTTTCCTCTGTTTTCTTTTAGAAGTTTTATAGTTTCTCTATGTATTTTTAATTCTTCAATCCATTTTAAGTTGATTTGGGTATATGGTGGGAGGTGTGGGTCTAGTTTCATTCTTCTACATATGGATGTCCGATTTTCCCAGCACCACTTCTTGAAGAGGCATTC